CCCCAAAACCCCAAAACCCCAAAACCCCAAAACCCCTTTGTGTTGTAGAAATATTGAATATTTTCAAAAAGTTATAAAAGAAAATGAATACTGGCTTAGCGAAAAGACTAAAGAAACAGTTGAGGGTTAATCGGATGGATTTCACCCTTATTCCCCAATTAAAAAGGAAAAACAGGTCACCTATTCCTAAGACTATTGGTAACCTTAAAGGTAACTGAGATATCAATTTATTGAGACAATTTATGCTTAATTACTTATAACTTTGCTATAGCGATGAAAGCACAACCAAACCGGAGGTATGCCTTAATCTTTATAAACCTTCACTACCAGCATCTTTTTGCACTAATTAGTGGCACCTTAAGGATCGGTTTCATCTTGGAAAGGTTTTCACTAAAATTATTATAAATATAATCCCAGTTGCACTCAGGGGGTTTCTACCAATTCTGTGTGTCCTTGATAGTTCATAATCTCTCGAGGTGCTCCATCTGTTTGTAATAACAAGGAAAGATGTAAAAACTGAGCAAACAGTTTTAGCTCATTCTAAGAACAAGCCAATAAATATTATTGTAGGTTTATTTCTCCAGTAGCACAAGTTCATATGGCAATGGTATTAAACAAGGTAAGCTGGAGTCTGGCATAAGTAATTGCTCTAAATTTTAATATTGACTTTGGCGTCTGTAAGTTATTATACTGCACTGTCAGACTTTTGGAAATATTTCAATAAATATACACTCCATGCTGATTATTGTGGTTTATCATTCATTTTCAACTTAAAGTATTACAAAAGCCTTGACTTACGTCTTCATGAGCTTTTTTATTTAATATTTTAGATGAAAGAGAAACAATCCTCGAAGAGACGAAGAAATATTAGAGGAAGAGGGAAAACTAAAATGGAATTTAGCAAACGAAAGAGTCCTATTTTTAATACTTTTCATCAGCGGCCAGAGAAGAAAGTGCTGTCTAACCCTGGAAGCAGCAGGAGTAAGCAAAGAATGCTCTTCTAGTTTTAATATCTATCCTAATTTCTAAATATCTTTTCCTTGCAACAGCTTAAAAGTTAATCTTCCTGCTGCCCCAATAAATCTATGAATTTCTGAGCATGAGTAAAATGATTTATTAATAATGACTCTACTCATCCTTCATGTAGAACTAAAGAACAACTCAGGCGCAAAGTTAAAATAATGTGAATATCATGAAGCCTTCTAGTCAGAGAAAGACTACTATGCTTACACTAGTTAAGGGCTCGGATCAGAGGGACATAGGTACTTTGGGTACCAAAATATCTCCAACCTCAGAAACTCAGTTGAATAAAAGTAACTATTATTGGTTATTTTACAGCGAATATTTCACAGAATAAAGAAAGAAAATCAAATGCCAACCCTTTTGCAAACTATCACTCCTTTCTGGACCAGAAGTTACCCGAAAATCGATATGATTCGTAAGTGTTTGAAGAGAAGTTTAGGAGGAGAAATGTATCAAGAAATGACTCTAATTTGTCAAACACCACAAAAAATTTGTATATCATGCTCAATGGACGGTATTACATTAGCTGATCAATTTTAGAGCTTCAGAGACCTCAGACAGAAACCTTGAAGAAGAGTCTCAAAGATCAGACTCGAAACAGTCTGATAGAAACCATCTGCAAGATCCTTCACCTGGAGGTATGAAGATGAGGAAGTTTAAAAAGGCTCGTATGGAGTCTTTTCAGCTAGATATTATCAAAGAGATGCCTCCTAAGAAGCAATCGAAGTAATTGAATTTATGTTTCATTAACTATAGGATAATTATTCCTCCTCATGCACTCAGGAAGAGTGGATTAAAGAGCCCAGGAAAAATAATTGGCTCTCCTAACGATATAATACAATACATAGGGCCAAGTCCCAATCCTTCTACAAAGAAACAGAAGTTTACGTTCAAATTCTAGTCTTTAGACATTTCTATAATCATTAATTCTCAACATAATTATTAAATCTGGGGTTTTGGGGTTTTGGGGTTTTGGGGATTTGGGG